TTGACATCCCGACTCCGCGCTCTTACGCGGAGTCCGTAGAGGGTCCCTACTCCTCTCAGTGGCAGGCAGCTATGGATGCAGAGATGGCTTCCTGGAAGTCCACAGGCACCTAGGTTGACGCGGTTCCCCCACCTGGGGCGAACATCGTCAGTGGCATGTGGATTTTCAGGGTAAAGCGGCCGCCAGGTTCTCCACCTGTCTTTAAGGCGCGTTACGTGGCTCATGGCTTCAGTCAGCGGCAGGGGGTTGACTACTTTCAGACCTTCTCTCCCACCCCGAAGATGACCACTCTTCAGGTGCTGCTGCACATAGCCGCTCAGCGCGACTACGAGCTTCACACTCTTGACTTCAGCACTGCTTTCTTGCAGGGTAGCCTGCACGAGGAGATCTGGCTGCGCCGCCCACCTGGCTTCACTGGGACTTTTCCTCCTGGCACCCAGTGGAGCCTCCAGCAGCCAGTCTACGGTCTCCGCCAGGCACCGCGTGAGTGGCACGACACACTGAGGACTACGCTTGCGGCTCTTGGGTTTGCTCCCTCTACTGCCGACCCGTCGCTGTTTCTGCGCACCGACACCTCTTTGCCGCCGTTCTACATCCTCGTGTACGTCGACGACTTGGTCTTTGCCACAGCTGACACTGCTAGACTCGCCCACGTGAAGTCCGAGCTGCAGAAGAGACACACGTGCACAGACCTGGGTGAACTGCGCAGCTACCTTGGCTTGCAGATCACCCGGGACAGAGCACGCCGCACCATTACCCTGACTCAGTCACACATGGTGCAGCAGGTCCTTCAGCGCTTCGACTTCACGTACTCCTCGCCTCAGGCCACTCCTCTGTCTACTCGCCACTCGCTCTCAGCTCTGCCTTCGGATGAGTCCGTAGAGTCGAGTGGCCCGTACCCAGAGCTTGTTGGCTGCCTCATGTACCTGATGACCTGCACACGACCTGACCTTGCATACCCTCTTAGCATTCTTGCACGCTATGTTGCTCCTGGGAGACACAGACCGGAGCACATGGCTGCAGCGAAGAGGGTGTTGCGCTACTTGTGCAGTACGTCGGGCATGGGGCTAGTGCTTGGAGGGCAGAGTCCAGTCGTCCTCACTGGGCACGCAGACGCTTCTAGGGCTGACGACCAGGCTACACAGCGGTCGTCACAGGGTTACACCTTCAGTCTTGGTTCCGGCTCTGTTTCGTGGCGGGCTACTCGCTCATCTTCCGTTCTCGGCTCCAGTTGTGAGGCTGAGATCTACGCAGGAGCCATGGCTGCACAGGAGCTTTGCTGGCTCACCTACCTGCTGACTGACCTCGGAGAGCCGCCTCGTTCTCCTCCAGTGGTGTACGTAGACAGCAAGGCCATGCTGGCCTTGTGTCGGGAGCAGCGCCTGGAGCAGAGAACGAAGCACATTGCTCTCCGCTACTTTCTTGCTGGTGAGCTGCAGCAGCGTGGTCAGTTGCGACTTGCGTACGTGGCCTCTGAGGCCAACACTGCTGATATCTTCACTAAGGCACTTGCGCCTTGTGATCATCAGCGCTTCTGTACTCAGCTTGGTCTTGTGCCTGCCTTGCCTCACTTGCTCACTTCTTGACCTTGCTTGTATTGTCACATACATATACTCCTGCTCTTGCTTGTTTAGCCTTTTATATATGTATGTGCTCCTGCATGTGAACTCGCCTTCTGGCCTTGAACTTGTGCTCGGAATGTGTGGTGACTTTGTGATCCACCCTGAGCTTTGCTTTGTTTTGCTTGACTGGTCTTGTGACCCCTTGTTCTCCCCCACTTTGCCTATTGGGGTGTGTCAAATCATAATGTTCTGTAGGCTGTAGTGGGGTAGCTTATATGGGGTACACATTTCTAGGGTTGCATATTTGTACCACATCCCATTCCTTAGTCCAACCATTCTCGTTTTAGTTTTCTCAGTTTCTTGCTCCTTGTGCAGGTTGTCGTGTTGAGGTCGTTGAGGCTTGAATCTGAGTCATGGGATTTGCTTGTGTTGAGGCGATTTGGCTGCTTGAAGGTCGAAGTTGCCGCTGTAGAGTTGTTGACTGTTGACGATTCGGGCAGTGCGTACGCGGGTGTCCTGAAGTTTTGCAGATGTGGCAGAACGGAGGTAGTGGCTTCGGTTGTTGCTGCCGGTTGTTGTTGTTGTTGTAGCGTCGCTGAGTGTGGAACGCGAATTTCGGTGCTGATGTCTTCTTTTTGTGTCATTCTTCTTGCAGGTCCATGTCTTGCTGCTCGACGTGGATTTCGGCGCAGAGCCCTGCTTCAGAGATTCTTCCGTGAGCTCGGAGAATGGCCTTTGTGGCGCGCCATTGAGGACCGAGGCCGCCGATGATGACTGTCACGAAGGCGTCTCCAGAAATCGACCCTCCGCATCGAAGAAGCTTGTCGCGCAACTTGCGACATCGACTTATATACGCCATTCCTTTCTCCCCTGGTTTCATTTCAACCGTTGTCAGTTGCGCCATTAACCGACTTTGACTTACGCTGTCTGTTGCTTGGTACAGGCTCTTCAGATGGTTGTACGCGAGCTCCGCGGAGTTGCCGTAACCTCGGTAAGTCCTTATGTTCTGCTGTTGAGTCGGGGTGATGTTCCTCAGTAGGATCGTGTACGCCATCATTGACTGATAGGTGTACTGCTGCTTCTCGTACTGTGTGCCGTTTGTTGGGTATGGCAGAGACCCGTCGAAGAACCCGAGTATCTGCGCGCCTTCCATCATCAGCTCGAACTCGAACGACCAGGTGAAGAAGTCCTTTCCATTGAAGGGTCTTGACGTCTGCATCTTCAGAACGTGAGCGAAGTGCGACTGAACTTGCAATGCGTCCAGTGGTTTTTCTTGTCCAGATGAGGGCTGTGGGTGTGGCATGAAGCTGATGGACCCGCGCTCGTACGGAGCAAAGGTAGGCTGCTGTTGTTGATTTCCTCGTGCATATGATGAGCCCTCGAGACTCATAGGTGTTGCTCCGTTGTTGTTGCTGTTGTGTGACTGCGCAGGTGCTGATTGCTGGTGTTGCTCGTAGAAGGACATGAAGGAGAAAAACTTCTCCATCATGCTCTGGTCGAAGTCTGCAGGTTGATTCGCGGGAGTCTCGGTGGATGTTCCTCTGGGTCTTGCTGCCGTGCCCTCCTCTATCTGTAGGCCAGAGGCAGGAGGTGGAGTAGGAGTAGTTCCCTGGGAGCCGTTGGAGTTGCTCCTTTCTTTTTGTGTAGCCATGCTGATTGATACTGTTGGCATAGAAGTTGAAATCCCCCTGATAGCTCTCATACCATGTTGGGCTGAAAAAGCCCTTAGGATCTTTGCAGGGGTGAACTCTGGGTAGAGTTGGTGTAGTAGCGGAAGCGTTAATAAGGAGTTGTGAACCACCTTGCGAGGGCAAAGTAAGTTGATTAAAACAAAGAGATACAAGATTATATAAGAGTACAAGGAATACGAAGAGATACGGTTGTAACTGTTTTACTTGCTGTTGCGGTTCGATATAGTGACGACTCGGGCAACTGCTCTGTAGCGAGTCAGTTGTGTGTTCTTGCTGTCGCGCTGTACTTGTCAGGTCAAAGGTCGCTGACCTTTGACTTTTGTTGGTGCAACCCTACGGTTTGCACTCGGCTTGTTGTCCGTGTGCGTGCATGTATGTGTGTATGGAATGGTATGTGGGCATGGGATAATATATATTTCATGCTTATAATTGTGTGTGAATGTTGAGTCATGATGTCGAGTGTGTGTGTCGAGTCAATAGCGAGTTATCACTAGACGCGTGTTACGCGGTCGTTTGTGTCTCGCGCGCGGTTTTTATTTTTGTCGTGCGCGGTTTCTATTTTGTCCTGTGTCGAACGTTCGCTGTGTCGCAGGTGTGTGCAGCAGACCCATCAAGAACTCAAGGATGAGTTTGTGATGAAGAGCCCGAGCCTTGGTGTCAAGCCTCAAGTGATTTCGAAGCTCGCCAAAAGAGTACACCTCAAGATATTGAAGATAGTTACATTACTTTGTGTAGTGTAACATTTCACTTGGTGTAGGCCCTAGTGAAGGGTAGTTTCGAGACCCTTCGTGGTTGGGGACAGTGTGGCACTGCTCCACATCACTGTACCTTGGCTCTTGAGGTTTGTAGGAGCTGGGAGTCATTCCCAACTCGCAACTCTTCCTAACTCTTCCTATCTTCTTCTAAGACTATAGTGGCTGCCATAGTGCCGTTCGTTCAAACCGACGCTGTGTCGTCAATACTTCGTGAAAGTGTGCGATCTAAATTGCCTATTGTAGGCGACGTTCAGACGCTGTTGATCCAAGTTGAATCAGGTCATTTGAAGTTGTGACCAGAACGCTATGAACGTTTGAAGCCGCTGTGCAGAAATCCGGCTGTGCACTCTATCTTTCGTTTTAGGCACATTGGAGCCTATTGTGACTATAACAACTTTCGCGTAACCTCCAGCAGTTACTTCAACCTCCGAGGGTTGACTCGCTTGTGCCTTGATATGCTTTGCTTCGCTTGTGCCTTAGTGTTTCGACACGACAGAGGCGCTTAGGACCGATTGTTTCCAGCAATTGCAACATTGCCGCCACCAGTACTGAAACAGATGACTGGCTAAATGGAATGTCACTGCATATGACATTCATTCATTTACCCTTGCTTTGCAGAATACAAACAAGTGGACACATACAGGCGGATGGCAACGTGCCGAGTGGTCCAGATGGCATTCAGATGGTGCAGAGCGGTTCAGATTGCATCCATGACGAATTAAGTGCCCCTCTATAGATACCGGCCAGCAGGCCAGTGCAGAAGGTGTGCACAGCCAGAAGTGCAGTACCGGTACGGTATGGTAGCTTCTCTGCCCCAGAGGTATGATCTATGGTACCCTTAATTTCCTCCTGACATTCTTGATTCACTGCCCTATTCACCGCTTCACTGCTCTGGCTTAAGTCATATCTTCTAAAAAACGTTTCATTCCCTCTTTGCATGTCCCGTCTTCACAGCCCCATTCACTGGCCCACTCACCCCACCTCCGCCACCACTACCCCCAACTGCATTGGGTGTTCTCAAAAGTGCAGTGATCTGCCTCCAGCAGCGGCCGTGGAAGGCCCACGGCGCTCCAATCGGCGCCCCCAGCAGCGGCGGCACTCATTGCGATGCTGTACCTCACGGCGCTCCACTCGGCGCTCCAGCGGCGGTGGATGGCCCACGGCGCCCCACTCGGCGCTCCACACGGCGCCTTACACGGCGCCCCACTCGGCGCTCCAAAACTGCAGTGATCTGCCCCAGCAGCGGCGGCGCTCATCGCGATGCTGTACCTCACGGCGCTCCACTCGGCGCTCCAGCGGCGGTGGATGGCCCACGGCACTCCATTCGGCGCTCCACACGGCGCCTCACACGGCGCTCCAAAACTGCAGTGATCTGCCCCCAGCAGCGGCGGTGGATGGCCCACGATGCTCCACTCGGCGCTCATCGCGATGCTGTACCCCCAGAAGAGATCAGGCCCGGACCGGGTGGCAGTGCTTGGAACCTTCCAGGAAGCTCATCGCAAAGAGGATGACGCTGAGAAGGGCCTTCGAGATGCCAGTGATGTGAGGGATAAGGTGGGTTTGGGTGGGTTTGGGTGGGTTTGGATGGGTTTGGATGGGCATGACATTGACTTACAGCTGGCCTTGGGAGATTGCTAGTGGGAGACGGAAGACGTGTGTTTCAAGATGCAATGCAAGAAGGGAAATAGCTGTGAGGGAGGTTTGTTGCGGGGTGTGGAGGATTAGTGTTGGATGGGTATGCGAGCGGTGGGAGCATGATGACACACAGATGAGGTGACCATATCGCTGAGACGGGAAAGGGATTGCAGTGTAGTGAGGGAGGGAGGTGCAGTGAGGGAGGGAGGTGCAGTGAGGGAGGGAGGTGCAGTGAGGGAGGGAGGTGCAGTGAGGGAGGGAGGCGCAGTGAGGGAGGGAGGTGGATGACGTGTCGATGTAGCTGGGGTAGGGAGGGAGACTGTGAGTGAAGGATGGTGACTTTTGAGTTGACTCAATCACCTTGTGTATCTGTAGCTGGTAAGGAGGGAGGCAGTACAGTGAAGGATGGCAGGGGAAGGTTTGCACTGGGTCATAGGAGCAGGAGAGTGGGAAAAGAGGGAGTGGGAGATGATACGAAGGGAGGTAGGCGAGGAGGGAATAGAAGAGGGACAGGAGGAAGATAGGAGGAGGGAAGGAGGAGGGGGAGGAAGGAAGTGAGTACGAAAGGGAGGAGGGAAGGGACGGAGCTTGAAACGAAGAGGATTCACTGCCGCTTAGTTAAGCGAGGGAGAGATACAAATGCTGGGAATGACTTCAGACTCAAACGTCACTAAATAGCTGGCCAGGGGAGAAAGCAAACGTAAGCATGTGAGAATGGGAGCGGGCAGGAAAGCGGCAGCCGGAAGGGGAAAGGGGGAAGCGAGAAGGGGGACGGGGGACGGGGAAAGAGGGAAGGGGGAAGGGGGAATGGGGACGGGGAAAGGGGGAAGGGGGAATGGGGACGGGGAAAGGGGGAAAAGGGGAAGGGGGAAGGGGGATGGGGGACGATGGACGGGGGACGGGGGATGGGGGACGGGGGAGGGGGGAGGGGGAAGGGGGGAGAAGGGGGGATGGCGGGGGGAGGGGGGAGCGGGGACGATGAAGGGGGAGTGAAGCGGGGAAGGGGGAGGGGGGAGGGGAAGGAAAGGGGGGCGGGAGGACGGAGGAGGGAAAGCGGGGAATTGGACGGATCCTTGAAATTCTTTCAGCATTGAGGCTCAGCAGAGGGGTCAGAGCAGAGGGGTGAGAGCATAAGTATTGCAGGACAAGGAAGCAGTGAGGACAGCAGGCGGGTCCTTGTATGAAAACAGTGGCCCCTTCAACTGAGGGCACACCGCCTTCTCGAGCAGGACAGCGTGAATTGGCTTTTGAGGTGCCTCAGAAAGCATAGCGTGAATCGGCCATGCGATTGATGTTCGAGAATTCTCAAATACCGCGGTACTCCTTCCCTGGATAGGACGGCAGGGAAGGCAAGGGGGGCAGGTGACAGTGTGATGTGAGGAAAGATACGGCACACGAGAGAAAGATACGGCACATGAGAGAACGATACGGCACACGAGAGAATGATACGGCACACGAGAGAAGAATACGGCACACGAGAGAACGATACGGCAGACGAGAGAACAATACGGCAGACGAGAGAACGATACGGCACACAAGAGAACAATACGGCACACGAGAGAACGATACGGCAGACGAGAGAACGATACGGCACACGAGAGAATGATACGGCAGACGAGAGAACGATACGGCACACGAGAGAACGATACGGCACACGAGAGAAAGATACGGCAGATGAGAGAACGATACGGCACACGAGATAACGATACGGCACACGAGAGAACGATACGACAGACGAGAGAACGATACGGCACACGAGAGAACGATACGGCACACGAGAGAACGATACGGCAGACTAGAGAACGATACGGCACACGAGAGAACGATACGGCAGACGAGAGAACGATACGGCACACGAGAGAACGATACGGCACACGAGAGAACGATACGGCAGACGAGAGAACGATACGGCACACGAGAGAACAATACGGCACACCAGAGAAAGATACGGCAGACGAGAGAACGATACGGCAGACGAGAGAACGATACGGCACACGAGAGAACGATACGGCAGACGAGAAAACGATACGGCAGACGAGAGAACGATACGGCACACGAGAGAACGATACGGCACACGAGAGAAAGATACGGCAGACGAGAGAACGATACGGCACACGAGAGAACGATACGGCACACGAGAGAAAGATACGGCAGACGAGAGAACGATACGGCAGACGAGAGAACGATACGGCACACGAGAGAACGATACGGCAGACAAGAGAACGATACGGCACACGAGAGAACGATACGGCACACGAGAGAAAGATACGGCAGATAAGAGAACGATACGGCACAGGAGATAACGATACGGCACACGAGAGAACGATAGGACAGACGAGAGAACGATACAGCACACGAGAGAACGATACGGCACACGAGAGAAAGATACGGCAGACGAGAGAACGATACGGCACACGAGATAACGATACGGCACACGAGAGAACGATACGGCAGACGAGAGAACGATACGGCACACGAGAGAACGATACGGCACAAGAGAGAAAGATACGGCACACGAGAGAATGATACGGCAGACGAGAGAACGATACGGCACACGAGAGAACGATACCGCACACGAGAGAACGATACGGCAGACGAGAGAATGATACGGCACACGAGAGAACGATACAGCAGACTAGAGAACGATACGGCACACGAGAGAACGATACGGCAGACGAGAGAACGATACGGCACACGAGAGAACGATACGGCAGACGAGAGAACGATACGGCACACGAGATAACGATACGGCACACGAGAGAACACAGGCATCGCAGGTGCCTTAGTGCGAGCGAGGAAGCCTTGCTGTATTCCGCCCCAGAGAGGGGAGGGAGTGTGGCAGGGCAAGGAGAGGAAAGAGAGGGAGATGCAGCAAGACAGTGAGAACCGCTATTCTCCTTCGCTGCAAAAGGAGAGGCAATGAGGCAAAGGGGGGCAGGTGACAGTGTGAGGAAGGACACGGTAAACGAGAGAACACAGGCATCGCAGGTGCCTTAGCGCGAGCAAGTTGGCCTTGCTCTAGTCCTCCCCCTGCGAGTGATGCAGGAGAAGACACGGAGAAACGCAAGAGAGAGAACACAGGCATCACAAGCGCGAGCGAGTTGGCCTTGCTCTAGGTTGCCATGTTGCCAAGTTGCCAGGATGCCAGGTTGCTAGGTTGCCAGGATGCCAGGTTGCCAAGTTGCCTGTGTTGTAGGCATCGCAGGTGCTGTAGGTGCAAGCCCGCCGTGCTGCGCTCCTGCAGAAGTGGGAACGCAAAGACAGGAGTGGGAACACAACGACAGGTGTAGGAACGCAACGACAGGAGTGGGAATGCAATGACAGGTGTGGGAACGCAACGACAGGTGTGGGAACGCAACGACAGGTATGGGAACGCAACGACAGGTGAGGGAACGCAACAACAGGTGCGGGAACCCAACGACAGGTGCGGGAACGCAACGACAGGTGCGGGAATGCAACGACAGGTGCGGGAGCGCAACGAAAGGTGTGGGAATGCAACGACAGGTGCAGGAACGCAACGACAGGTGTGGGAACGCAATGACATGTGTGGGAACGCAACGACAGATGCGGGAACGCAACGACAGGTGTGGGAACGCAACGACAGGTGTGGGAACACAACGACAGGTGTGGGAACGCAATGACAGGTGTGGGAACGCAACGACAGGTGTGGGAACGCAATGACAGGTGTGGGAACGCAACGACATGTGCGGGAACGCAACGACAGGTGTGAGAACGCAACGACAGGTGTGGGAACGCAACGACAGGTGTGGGAACGCAACGACAGGTGCGGGAACGCAACGACAGGTGTGGGAACGCAACGACAGGTGTGGGAACGCAACGATTGGTGCGGGAACGAAATGACAGGTGGGGGAACGCAACGACAAGTGCGGGAACGCAATGACAGGTGTGGGAACGCAACGACATGTGCGGGAACGCAATGAAAGGTGTGGGAACGCAACGACAGGTGTGGGAGCGCAACGACAGGTGTGGGAACGCAAGGACATGTGTGGGATCACAACTACAGGTGTGGGAACGCAACGACAGGTGTGGGAATGCAACAACACGTGTGGGAACGCAACGCAGGTGTGGGAACGCAGCGACAGGTGTGGGAACGCAACGACAGGTGTGGGAATGCAACGACAGGTGAGGGAACGCAACGACAGGTGCGGGAACCCAACGACAGGTGCGGGAACGCAACGACAGGTGCGGGAATGCAACGACAGGTGCAGGAACGCAACGAAAGGTGTGGGAACGCAACGACAGGTGCGGGAACGCAACGACAGGTGTGGGAACGCAATGACATGTGTGGGAACGCAACGACAGGTGCGGGAACGCAACGACAGGTGTGGGAACGCAACGACAGGTGTGGGAACACAACGACAGGTGTGGGAACGCAATGACAGGTGTGGGAACGCAACGACAAGTGTGGGAACGCAATGACAGGTGAGGGAACGCAACGACAGGTGCGGGGACGCAATGTCAGGTGTGGGAACGCAACGACATGTGCGGGAACGCAACGACAGGTGTGGGAACGCAACGACAAGTGCGGGAACGCAACGACAGGTGTGGGAACGCAACGACAGGTGCGGGAAGGCAACGAGAGGTGTGGGAACGCAACGACAGGTGTGGGAACGCAACGAAAGGTGTGGGAACGCAACGACTGGTGCGGGAACGAAATGACAGGTGGGGGAACGCAACGACAAGTGCGGGAACGCAATGACAGGTGTGGGAACGCAACGACATGTGCGGGAACGCAATGATAGGTGTGGGAACGCAACGACAGGTGTGGGAACGCAACGACACGTGTGGGAACGCAACGACAGGTGTGGGAACGCAACGACAGGTGTGGGAACGCAACGACAGGTGTGGGAACGCAACAACAGGTGTGGGAAGACAACGACAGGTGTGGGAACGCAATAACAGGTGTGGGAACTCAACGTCAGGTGTGGGAACGCAATGACAGGTGTGGGAACGCAACGACATGTGCGGGAATGCAATGACAGGTGTGGGAATGCAACGACATGTGCGGGAACGCAATTACAGGTGTGGGAACGCAACGATGGCAGTGGGAGGAATGATGGCAGCGAGAGGCATGATGGCAGTGGGAGGCATGATGGCAGAGGGAGGCGTGGTGGCAGTGGGAGGCATGGTGGCAGTGGGAGGCATGATGGCAGTGGGAGGCATGATGGCAGTGGGAGGCATGATGGCAGTGGGAGGCATGATGGCAGTGGGAGGCATGATGGCAGTGGGAGGCATGATGGCAGTGGGAGGCATGATGGCAGTGGGAGGCATGATGGCAGTGGGAGGCATGATGGCAGAGGGAGGCATGATGGCAGAGGGAGGCATGATGGTAGTGGGAGGCATGATGGCAGTGGGAGGCATGATGGCAGAGGGAGGCATGGTGGCAGTGGGAGGCATGATGGCAGTGGGAGGCATGATGGCAGTGGGAGGCATGATGGCAGTGGGAGGCATGATGGCAGTGGGAGGCATGATGGCAGAGGGAGGCATGATGGCAGTGGGAGGCATGATGGCAGTGGGGCGCCGACGCGCCTCCGTAAAGGCGGGGTCGGAGGAGACACGAGGGTGGCGAGGAGACGCGAGGGTGGCGAGGAGACGCGAGGGTGGGAAGGGGATGAGAGAGAGGGGAGGGAATGAGAGGGATGAAAGGGAATTAGAGCGTTGAGAACTGATTTTCCTGCACCTCACTCTTCATCGCTGCTCATTCGCAACCTTCGCCAGGTCTTGTGAAGGTTTCCAGCTCGCCGCTCCCAAAAGCGGTTCCCAGCTCACGGATGGAAGGCAGGATGGCAGAGAAAGGGGCAGGCGACAAGGTAAGGAGAGAAAGGGGCAGGCGACAAGGTAAGGAGAGAAAGGGGCAGGCGACAAGATAAGGAGAGAAAGGGGCAGGCGACAAGGTAAGGAGAGAAAGGGGCAGGCGACAAGGTAAGGAGAGAAAGGGGCAGGCGACAAGGTAAGGAGAGAAAGGGGCAGGCGACAAGGTAAAGAGAGAAAGGGGCAGGCGACAAGGTAAGGAGATAAAGGGGCAGGCGACAAGGTAAGGAGAGAAAGGGGCAGGCGTCAAGGTAAGGAGGGAAAGGGGCAGGCGACAATGTAAGGAGAGAAAGGGGCAGGCGTCAAGGTAAGGAGGGAAAGGGGCAGGCAATAATGTAAGGAGAGAAAGGGGCAGGCGTCAAGGTAAGGAGAGAAAGGGGCAGGCGGCAAGGTAAGGAGAGGCACCAAGGAAAAAAACCCATGCACTGCGAGTGGCATAGCGCGAGTCGGCCTTGCTGTGCTGCTTCCATCTGCGGGGTGAAGGCAAGCGGGGCAGGTGAGAGGGTAAGGTGAGACAAGAGAGGCCGGCAACATGGTTAGGGGGCCGGCAACATGGTTAGGGGGACGTTGCAGGGGGACGTTAGGAGGCCGACAACTCCCTTCGAGACAAGACAAGCCGGCAACATGGTTAGGGGGACACATGCATTACGAGAGGCATGTCGCGAGCTGGCCTTGCTGCACTGTTTCCATGCGGGGGAGGAGTGGTGCAAAGGGATGGTGCAAAGGGGTGGTGCAAATGGGTGGTGCAAAGGGACAGATGAAACGGACAGATGAGGCCAAGGGGAGAGCAGAGCAGGGCACACGGTAAGAGTCAGCTTTTCAGTGCTCCCTCCCCGCGAGGGAAGAAGCAGAAGGACAGATGGTAGGGCAAGGCGGAGCGGGGCAGGCATTGCTGGTGAATCCACTCCCAGCATTACTCGGGCAATGCTGGTGAATCCACTCCCAGCATTACTCGGGCATTGCTGGTGAATCCACTCCCAGCATTACTCGGGCATTGCTGGTGAGGGCACGACAGGATGCTCAGACGTTACAGCGTCAGATCCACGCACCACCGTCACCCCAATGCAATGCCAGACTAAATCAAGTTTGCAATACCACAAGAGCAAACTTGAACCCCACTCAACGGAAAACCTCACCTGCAGCATATGCACTGCACCGCACTGCACCGCCTGCCTGCCTATTGACTCACGAGTCAATCCAAGCGTCACCATCGCCACAGCAGTGTTCTTCGGCATAAGAGCATTCTTTAATGTTTAACCCCACACGTACATAAGGCCCTTGCCTCGCACCCGCCACACAAGTTTCACTCACTCTAGCAGAAAAGCGCTCCAGGTGCTGCTCTGCTCATAAGGTCCTTGCACCCGTCCGTTACCCTATGCGTTAGTCAAACCAAGCGCCGCCATCGGCACATCACCCCAGCAGCATTGCCAGTGAGGTGGGCGAGCGCGACAAATGTGCCTTCCAGCACCACGTGGTAAGGAGAGGCGCAACGAACGTGCCTTCCATTCCAGCACCACGTGGTAAGGAGAGGCACAACGAACGTGCCTTCCATTCCAGCACCACGTGGTAAGGTGAGGCGCAACGAACGTGCCTTCCATTCCAGCACCACGTGGATCGACCCCGTCACGGCCCACCAGCAGAAGATGGGCCTATCCAGAGCCGACATGTGGCGGCAGGATCCTGATGGGCGGGTGGCAGGGGGCCGGAGGGAAAGGGGAGGGGGAAAGAAGATGGGCTCGTCCTGGCCCACCAGCACAAGTCGGCTCTATCTAGAGCCGACATGTGGCGGCATGATTCTGATTGCCGGGTGGACCGTGGAGGAAAGACGGGGCAGGGGGCGGGGAGGGGGAGAGGAGGAGGAAGCGGGAGGGGGAGGTGGGGGGTGGAGAGGAGAGAGAAGTAGATGTTCCTGTGATATACCAGCAGCAACAAACCGTGGACCTATCAACAGCCGACACATGGCAGCGGGAGCCTGATACCGGCACGTGGCAGCGGCAGCGGGTGTGGAGGATGGCTGGAGGGGGGGGGGGGAGGGGGGGGGTGAGGGGGAGGGGGGGTGGGAGGGGGGTTGGGAGGAGCAACAGGAATTGGCACGAAGCAGCATGAGTGGAAGATGATGGGGGAGTGGAAGATGATGGGGGAGTGGAAGGCACAATGCCAGAGGGGACTGGACGCGAGAAGGCTGCAGATCGCTCAATGGCAAGAATCGCAAGAATGTCACGAGTCGCATGACTGAACTGCACACATCGTAGCAATATGGATTCAATACAATTGCCTTCGCATGGTAGGTCGCATCCCGTGTTAGGGAGGCGGGATAAGAGGATGGGGAGGGGATGAGAGGGTGGGGAGGGGATGAGAGGGTGGGGAGGGGATGAGAGGGTGGGGAGGGGATGAGAGGGTGGGGAGGGGATGAGAAGGTGGGGAACGGACGAGAGAGCCAATCCCCTGCACCTCACTCGTCGCTGCTTATATCCGGATTCGCAGCCTTCGCCTCGTCTCGCGAAGCCTGCGGCTCGCTCCCAGCTCGCACCTCCCCGGCGGTAGCCGCGTTGGGCGCGGGGCGGATGGCGTTGCGATGAACGCGTCAACAGCGTCGGAGGCTTGAGAGGCGCTGGGCGCACGGAGGTGGACTCCAGTGGTGCGGCGGAGGCGGTACTGCGGCGAGGGACACGGGTGAGGGTCCCCCGGCGGCGAGCCATGGGAAGGATTACAAAGGGGTGGTGGGAGGAACACGAAGCACGACGCCGCAGCACAAACGGGTACAGTTACTATTGAAAGCCATTACGCAAAACCATGGGGCTGACGCATGGAAATCGCGTCGCGTGGGGGCATACTGGGCTGGAAACTGTTTGTGCTGCACTGCGCAGTGGAGAGAACTTTGATCAACCTATTTTGCCGCACTACCTGCGTGTTGTGATTACTGGTCGATTAGTGGCTCACCTGTAGGGTTTCAGTTGAAACCAAGCCAGGCTGAAACTCTATGTTGTATACGTGGCACCAGGATGAAGGAACCCACGGTCGAAGAGACCCACGGAACACGATTGCAAACTGCCAAAGCGGAAAATAAAGGCAAAAATTATGATTGTCCCAGGTATACCTTTCTCTGCCTTTTGGCTAAGATAAAGTGTAGTATCTGTTCTTATCAGTTTGATATCTCATACGTGGACCATCGGTCCACATGATATTAAATTAATTTCTTTTGGGGGCAGGTGCCAATGGCCAGCTTGCTGGTCGGCCCTGCAAGCGTTGCCTCTTTATTGCACTAACTAAGAGGAAGGCGCACCCCTCCCCCGTTAGGGGACGAAATAAAATTGAGAAATGGGATTCAATTAGGGCCTTTGCCGCACTGAAGCTTACCATGTAACTCTGATGTAAGGGTGAATAAGAGAATCGGCAATAATTTGGTTGTATAACGGCAGTTACATTGTTGTAGCGTGTCTGATGTGGAAGAGCCAATCAGGTATAGGACAGGATGCATTTTTGCCACCTACTACTACAATCTCAACTCAATGACTTCACCCTGTCAGTCAGTCTTGCTCCCTGTCTGTACCCTGCATTGGCATTTCCACTCCCCCCTGCCAACGTTCCAGGTGGCGTTCAGATGGTGCAGAGCAGAGCATCACAGGTGGCAATCAGATGGTGCAGAGCAGAGCATTACAGGTGGCAATCAGATGGTGCTGAGCAGAGCATTACAGGTGGCAATCAGATGGTGCTGCAGAGCAGAGCATTACAGGTGGTAATCAGATGGTGCTGCAGAGCAGAGCATTACAGGTGGCAATCAGATGGTGTGCAGAGCAGAGCATTACAGGTGGCAATCAGATGGTGCAGAGCAGAGCATTACAGGTGGCAATCAGATGGTGTGCAGAGCAGAGCATTACAAGTGGCACTCAGATGGTGCAGAGCAGAGCATTAGAGGTGGCAATCAGATGGTGCTGCAGAGCAGAGCATTACAGGTGGCAATCAGATGGTGCAGAGCAGAGCATTACAGGTGGTAATCAGATGGTGCAGAGCAGAGCATTACAGGTGGCAATCAAATGGTGTAGAGCAGAGCAGTCCAGGTGGATACATGCAATTTAGGCATGCCTGGTCATAAGGTTTGCAATTTAGTAGTGTCACGGCAATCCTGACAGCTGCACCAGTCACTGCTGCACTCACCCACTCCATGGCGTACCTGTGATGTGAGGGAGGGGGTGGGTGCGTTCGGGTGGATTGGGGTGGGTTGGGGTGGGTTTGAGTGGGTTTGGATGAGACAAATGGCGTCGCTGTACAGCTGGCTGAGGGAGAGAGCAAAACGGAGGAGCGGAGAGAAGGGGTGCCGACATTCCATGGGTGAGGGTTCCGTGGGTGAGTTGGGATGGGTTGGATGGGCTTGAGTGGTTTATGTGGGTATGGGTGATGGAAGGAGGAAAGGAAGAAAGGGCGGAGGACGGGAAGGAGGGAAGGAAAGAAAAGGCGGAAGACAGGAAGGAAGGAAAGGAGAAGGGGAGGAGTAGTAAGGAAAAAGGGAAGGGAGGGAGCTTGTAGCAAAGCGGATGATCCAGCGAGGGAGGGGGAAAGAGGAAGGTGGAAGGGGGAAGGGGGAAGCGGGAAGGGGGAAGGAGGAAAGGGGAAGGGGGGAATGGGGAAATGGGGCTGCAGTATAAGGCTCACTCACAGTACGAGGAAGCAAGCAGGCCTTTGGATGAAAGCAGTCAGAGCTTCAGGAGGCATAGAGCGAGTTGGCAATGCTTTTCTCCTTCTCTGCGAGTGGTGAGAAGGAAAATGAACAAGGTAAATGAGGCCAGCAACAAGGTAAGGTGGGGGGCAAAGAGAAAGCATGTGCATCTTGACTTTTGAGCATGCGGCTTGAAA